TCAGGTGCTCGGGAGATTTTGAGCATGATGTGAGTTACTTATTATACCGTATTAAAGCTTGTTTAATTGTCTTGATTTCAATTTTTAAAAGTACCCGTCTATCTGGAATAGAAATCAAGATGTTTACAATTGAAGAAGATGAGGATCGCCTGGTTTTAGAGGTAAAGTTAGCGAGAAAATGGACACCAAAGTTTGGTGACTATCAAATCTTGAGAGTCCATGGAAACTGCAAAACTACAATTTTTGTGTCTTTGATTAACATTTTTCAGTAAAAATAAGACATAAATGTGTTTTGAATGAACATCAAAAGTGTTGACCCCTCCCCCCCCCCCCCCCCCTAAAGAAATATAGTTTTTTTTCAATGCCTAAAGGCTATAAATTTACGCATTTCTTTGATTTCAATATTTTAGATCATTAAAAGTAGGTAGGCCCCGACCCTGCCTGTCGATACCAACCCGAGAGGGATTCAACGGCCCAGCAATAGGACCGAGATACTCGGTAAAAATGCTCCTCTCACGGTACGTTTATTGACCTCGGTTGTTCTGCGTGCCGATACACCACAGACGATGTGCAGTTAGAAATGTCAACAAGCTAAATTCCTAAAACACTCAGAACATTCTCGGTTCCTCGGGAAGCATAAGGTGCAAGCTACTGATTAATCACCCAAACATTATATTATAACTAATAATTTGTCTAGTTTAAAGTCAACGCAATCCAGTAGTAATCCATCAGGTATTTTCTATAATATGTGCGTCTCATCGTTGTGAAATCAGGTGCTCCTCAAAAAAATTATCCAAGAAACCATCTTTTCAGCTCTTTGGGCTATTTTTATCTTTGTTGCAGGTTTGGAGCGTCTTTTTTGACTTTTCAAAAAATTCCATTTCCATGCACTATCAAGCTGTGGAAGTCACTAGTTTTGGTGGCCACGTTCTGGCTAATTCAACATCTAAAACCAGTCGACAATCACTTCCTTCAATCACAAATATTTCTACGTCTATTTAAAATCGATGGGTATTGTTTTTATCTAAACAAGCTTGAAGATGACACCAAAAACTCCGATACCAATTCATTTACCAACACCCATTCCACCGCATCCCGACAAGACATATTTCTATGTGAACGTTACTGAAAAGTAGCTTTGAACAAAGATACAAATAAAATAATAAATGTCAGTCCCCAAGGACTCCAAGTTTAGAAGTCAGAAAATGTTCAAGGGCCTTTAATTCGCTATTTTTCACCACACGTACACCACCCCCTGCAACCGCAGAAATTTTGACTTGTATTCAAGGAAGATGGGTGGCTATTTAATTTTTAAAAATGTTTTTCAGGATAAATGAACAAACTTTAAGATTATACTGATAATTCCATGTACCTAAAAATTGACGAGTGCGTGAGTGTGTCGTGATACATTTTTTTTATCATGACGTCAGCGAATTATACCCGTCAGGTACCTGCTATTGTTGTGTTAGTTCAGAATTCAAGGTCTGCTCTATTGTTACTTCAAGACACTTGCTCTGATAAGATGAGGATCCCCCCCCCTCCCCAACTTTACTATTTTACTTTTTTCTAGAGGTTGTCTGTCCATTGAAGGGTGCTTTGTTTGTTTGTTTGAGAAAAGAGAAACACATCTACATAATAAAGTAAGACAGACAGACAGAAACGACAGAGGGAAAGTAAAACTGTAGGAAGTACCCCCCCCCCCAAATCCCCGACATAAAATGACATCCACTCTGTTCTACAGGCTGTTCTCCCGTACCAGATTGTGCCTGCTCGCATTCTGAAGTAGTCTTGCCTCCGTCTCTCTGGTCTTCCTCTTGATGATTGTTTTTCCGTTCTCGGTCTTCATTCAGTGCATTTTGGCCGTCTGTTGTTTATTATTCTACCATTGTGAGTCCATTTTCATTTTTAAAGGATCCAGTGAAGTGTTATCTAAAGTAACGAAAGGTGGTGTTGGACTTGCGACAAAAGAAAGACGTGTAACTCAGAACCAAGGCAGCACAAGGAAACGACATTGTATCTATAGGAGGAAAAAATGCAACTATCTATTTCCAATGATTTACAAGATTGTAATTCAGTAATCAGTACCTACGAAATGGCACAATCTATATATTTTTTGTTTGTTTCCTTTTAAATGTACGATAGTTTACTCCCAAATCGACCCAGATCATTTAGGAGGCAAGCTTCTACCCTACTTGTCAGGGCCAACCTGGGATGAGAAGGATACAGCACCCAGATGAACGGTTGGTATACTCGATTTTTAAAAAAGAAAAATAAATTCCCATACAGGAAACAAGCTCGCGTCTTCTGCGTGTTGTGCAGAATTGCCAAGCCGCTCCACAGCAGACACCAGTGTTTTCTGTCAGGGGACATGCCCATAATTATACTAGGCGTTCTATATAGCACCCTATTAGAAAGGAATATGACATGCGTTTTAAAATGCAAATTTACCCCCCCCCCCCTCTTTCCCACCTTCCCCCTTAAAGTGATTAGTAACTGATTGCTTTCTATTTTTGACATTCCTATAGCGACAAATTTGTTCAATAGGACAGGGTGCCTTCCTAGCTATAGGGTGCCTGTGTGGGAATTTTAAAGTCTAATTCGGCTATGTTTGGTTTTTAATTTTATCATTTTCTTGTTATGTTTAAAGTGACATTGCGATAGTCATTCGCAAGACCCTATACCCCACTGCGCCCCCCCCCCCCCACCCACCTGGCAGACCACGTATCTCTGTTTCTGGACACAATACCTGTGCTGCCATCTAGTCTCCTCTTACGACAAGCTAGCCACCTCGACAGTCCTATTTTTCTCAAAGCCACGAAAATGCCAATGTATATAATTCTGGTTGGCAGTCAGTGTCAATCCAAATTGAGTTGAGTGAAGTATCCCAGTAGAAAACGAAAGAAACAAATAATAAATAATTTAAAAAGTGGGGATAATGGATAGATATGACTTCCTCAAGCGAAAATGAAACTCTCTTTTCAACAGCCTCACCATTACACCACAAGCACATATCTACTGTAAATCTTCTATATTATAGGCTCAACTTCACATGCAAAATATGTGTTTGATTGTTATTCCAATGACATCTGGTGATTACAAAGCTGTGAGGATAACTTTTGTCCAGAACAGAAGACAACTGCAAGCTGTTAAAAGCACCGTTAAACCACCACCTCACCCGTCACCTGTCACTAGAGAGGCTTACCATAAATTAATGCTTCAAAGGTAATTTTTTTTTAAGTGGTGTGGAGGGGGGGGGGTGGTGATCGAGAGGGAAGAAATATAAATCACTACCATGGTGGCTTTGCTTGTGTTCTGAGTTTAGCAACATAATATACGGGTGAGACCACATATTATGCAGTGTTTACTTGTCGACTGTTAGAAAGCGGAACACTGTGCTGCAAATACGACGCATTTCTTGCAGGCGAGAATAATAATGTTACATTAACGAGAGGAAAAATATTTCTGATACTTGTATATTACTTGAAAAGATAGTCAGACTTTAAATATATCAAAGTCATCTCAGAAAGAATTAATTAATAAATGTGACCAATATTACGTATAATTTCTTTCCAAAGACGACCTAGAGAAAGTGGCTCTAGCAAAGCTCCGTTGTGTTAAAAAATGAATACGGCGATAAGTAAAACTGAAGCATAAACAATTATTGTGCAGTTAAGAACTAACTTTGTTTGTTTTTGTAAGTGTTTTACGGCGCTCGCAACTGCATATTAATAAGGTCATATAGGCGCGCGGGACACATTAAACTTTTTCAGTTGGTAGGAAATTTTGAATTTTGGCCGGGTGGCGGCCGAAGCCTACTCTTATCGATTTTAGATCTTTAACGTGCGCAACTTGTACACGGGCCCTCCGAGATTTTTCGCCCTTGTCCGAGAAGGCTAGGTGTAGATCTTTCCTACCAGAAGATCAAGGGTGTGGCTGAAAGACAGCAGTAAAAAGAAGCCAAGGAGTAGCAGTAGAAAGGCTGTAGAAAGAATCAGGAGCCCAGAGGAGGGGGGGGGGGTCAAAGGAGATGAGGAAGTGAGGGTAGAAAGAGGAGATGAAGCAGACGACAGAACATTGCTAGAGAGCAGGAAAGGTGGTGAAAGGAGACAAATTTAGGGAAGAAAAGTTTTCGGTCACCACCCGGATTCGAACCCGGGACCTTTGAATGAGAGGCCAACACCTTAACCCCTAGGCCACGAGAGCCCCCCACAGAACTAATTTTAACGGCTTCGGTGGTGTAACGGATATGCAGGTCACTATTACACATAGAAGATTTGTGTACGATTCTTAGAGTAGGGTGAGTTGTTTTTTTATCAAGTTCTTTTTTTTTCTGGTGGGGCGACATAATATCCCTTTCTGCCTTGACTGGCCTTGATAAGGGGCAGGGTCAAAGCCCGCTTCCTAAATGAGTTTTGCCTATGGGCGAGTAAAACAGCTATATTTTTTTCTGAAACTCACTGTTATTCTTGAGCGTTATATGTACATACCGAGTATAATGGTTTTGTGCAGGTGATGGCAGACAGCATGTGATGTATATATAAATATATATATATATATATATATATATATATATATATATATATGTATATATATATATAAATATTTGCAATGTATTATATTAAGCGCCAAATAAAAAACACGACAGGAATACACACATACAGTCAAAGATACTGAGAGATACACGACATGTAATAATATATTAATATACACCAGGATACTTGGAGAATTTTTACTCAATATACACACAGAGATACTCATAGAAATACACACGTGCACGCAGATAAACGACTAATTCACAACAAAACAAACAGGGGGGGGGGGCAAACGGCGTTCGAAACCGGATTTATGCATATGCAAGTCGATAAAAAAGGTGAGGAGGTGGGCAAGGTCAATGAACGCCGACAGAGCAGTTAAACAAATGCCCAATATAGTAATACAATGATAGAGATCTAGGCCTGTTGTTGTTCAGTATTTCCCTCTGCCATTCAGAAAGGTAACTTACCTTTTAATAGCCTTTCACTAAAACAGAATACAGCTACCCTTTTACGACAAACTTTGCCCCAGATGACCATATTTATGCAAATTTCGCGGCCAAGTGCACACACGTTACAGAGAGGAGAAAGTCAAACTGAACTTAGAACTCAGAACTGTATCTAAGTTCAGGGTGAAACTGCATGCGGTGAATGACTCGGCATTAGCAGCGCGGCGTGCGGTATTCAAGAAGCCTACTTCCCCTGCAGCTTTTGTCACACTTGTCTCGTGTCTCTGGAGGAGAAGGAACCTACCCAAAGGTCTGAGATGTAAGTACGAATAATGATGATAGTAACATTACTTTCATAGGATTTCCGATTTCGTTGACGTTGTACACTCTCGTCGAACGCACTTTTAGCTTTGGTAGGATTTAACCTGGGCAGGAATGCGTATGATTGCAGTTCGAATCCATCAGGAACAAAACATTAATTTTAAGTCGTTAAAGGAGTTACTGAGTTTGCCTAACTGCTCGTAGTTCGTACATTCTTGCTAAGATACACGTTAAACTGGAGTGCTTACAACTGTGTTTAGATTTCTTCATACTTATCAATTGTCGCCAAAAGCGTGGGAATTACGAATAATATTTCATTAATATTTCATCTTATTCTCAAAAATAGAACCCCCCCCCC